CCGAAAAAAACAGGGAAAGTCAGAAAAAAAACGAAAAAATTGACAACACAAATGTTTGTCCGTGCGCCACGGGTCGATGTCGCCCGCATGCTCCGGTGCCGCTGCTCCGTCCGGCGCCGCTGTAGTCAGCCCGAGCATAACGCCACTCGACCTGCTCCGTCCGTACACGCTCTCGTTGCTGTCCTTCCCAGTCGGTTCCTCGCTTTCTCCCTCGTTGCACTCAAGGTTCTTGGTCTGAAAAATAAAAATTCTCGCGCCGAAGGGGTCAACCAGCCCAGTTCAGCTCGTCGCCACCTGCTCCCTCCTCCTTTGATGGCGAAGCCAGGTTACTGAGGCAATGCAGCGCCCTCTAGCCAACCTAGGGCCGTGTACATAGTTCCCGTCCACCTTCTGACGGTGTCTGCCTCCGCGCACAAAAAATGAGATGGGCATCGCTGCCTACGCCGACGGCCAGAGGCCCGCGCATCTACATTTTTTCGCCTGACCCCATCAGTGCCGACCCAACTACACCACCACGCGCATGCCTCGCGGCGGATATGCGCAGCAGCAAGAAGGTTTCGGTCATCCCTTGAGGGTGAATCTAGCCCTGCTCGCCAGAAAGACCCCCCCCTTCACTACAACCCATGTCTAAGCAAAAGCTTGTCGAGGAGCGAGGGGAAGAAGGGAGAGATGCCAGTGCAGCCGGAGATCACACGCTGTACATACTAGGTGGTTGTTGTTGTTGTTGTTGTCTTCACATTAAACCGTATGTCAGTTGCCAAATGCCAAAATCTAGCAAAAGACTCTCAGCCCGTGGTCACGAAAGTGCTAGAGCCATCTGAGGATCTAAAGAACACGCACACGTAGCAAGAAAAAGGTGTACAAGAGCCCGAAGAGGTACTACTACACCTATATATAATCCCTGCAGCACCGTACGCGTGCCCAAAACTGAACTACACGTCCGTCTCACCGTTCGACTACAGCAACATCACCCCCTACCTGTCCCACTCTGTACCAAAACGAATGATTGCCGACTACAGCATACTTGCTGTCTGAAGTGCTGTCTGTACAAAAACACCATGGTAGGCATGGAACAAGCAGCTGGCGGGGCACAAAGCTGCTGTCTGAAGTGCTGTCAGAATGTGTCTGCGGACGTACAGTGAAAAAGAACAACCAACCAAAGCCATCATAGCAGCAATTGTGGTCCACAGGAAAGGAGACAAAAAATTCCGAACTAGGTAAAAGATGTTATTTGGCGAAAAAAGATGCGAGGGCAGACACAACATGCAGGCGGCATCTATTATTGGGCAAAGTTCATATAGTCCATATTTATGGATTCGAGTTTGCAGCGACAAGTAACTGCTGTGGCGTGGTTAATGCCTGCAGCGGTACAGCTGCAGCAGTGGTACACGACATCGTGCAATTATGAACCGAAGGGAGATGACATATCCGGTGGCTATTTTTCTGTACAAGGTGCTGGTTTACAGCAAGCAGTCTGGGGTCCACACCAGTCAGTCTGGAAGGAGACCGGTCTGGAAGGAGACCAAAAATTCAAAAATTCCGATGTTTACGACCTAGTCTACTAGTGTAGTTCTTATTGTTGGAGAAAAAGATGAGAGGGCAGACACGAGATGAAGGCGGCATCTATTGTGCGGCAGTCACTACATGCAGGCACCATTATATATTGTTGACGCTGCCTACGGCGGCAGCGATTTCTACTGCGGCAGCGATATGTTAGATGCGTTCACGTTGGTAGGGGTGGGTATCGTCCGAATTCGGAAGGACACCACAAAATTGTGCAACTGACTTCGTGCAACGTTTTGGCACTGACTGCCGTATGGTGCGCACGTGCACTCGTCTTCGAACCGAATTTTGCAACTGGACTCGCCCATCGTTTGTGATACAGTAGAGGTCCCTGTTTAGTGCCGGGGTGTGCGCAAAAACTTCACCGGCACTATACCGGGCACCGGCACTATTTTTCAGAGTGGCTGAATAGTGCCAAAGGGGCACTATTCAGGGTCTGAAAATCCCTCAATAGTGCCAGACGGGCACTATTGACGAATTGTGTGATTCAGAGTGCAGCGCTTTGCTTTGCGGGGCCAACAGAGTACCACATGAAAAGTACATGGTGAGATCATGGCATGGGCGTCGCGGGCAGACTGCTGTGCCACGATAGGGGTGGTTCCCGCCCTGTCGAACACACATATTTTGCTTAATAAGCTAAGTGGACGGGACACACATGCTGCGCCTTGTTGCTGCACCCACCTCAGCGCACGTACTGCACACTTGCACAACCTGATTTGAACCCTTCACATGAACATCGCGAAGGATGCACCTCATCGATGCCCAATATTTTGTTGGCAAGAATGCCGTGGCACTGGCCATAAACGGATCAAACCATTTCGCGCAACCTCAACATCATTCCTCGACAGCGAAAGCAAACCACTGATCATGAAGCTCATGGATTTTTGGGGGTAACACTTTTGCGAAGCTCCTGCTGGCACAACCTATTGGTGAAGGAGGAAGCTAAATCTGTCTCCTCCTCACCCTCCTTCGATGTAGCCAGAACAAGAAAAATGTAAACACGACCGCAAGAACGGGACATGCAAGAAATCAAACAGCCGCCCCCGCCCTCACTACGTCGCGATAAATTCCCGCATGTCTGCCTGGCGAGCCCGCTTTGCGGTGTGCGCTGCGATCATCGCCATCCTCGCTTTCGACAGGTGGCACACCGCGTCTCCGTTGCCACTCTCCTCCGCTGCCGCCTCTAGGTACCCGAAGTGAGACGACAGTTCAACGTAACCCGGTGGGGCACGCCGCCCGCGGCCCGCGTTTTTATCGTCGCTACCCCCCGCCGCTTCGTCGTCCTCTTCGTCGTTCTCCACCTTCTCCCGCTCGGCCTTCACTTTGCGGATCAACCGTTCCGAGCGCCCGAAGCGGTCTGCTATCTCTCCTTGAGAGAGCTTCGCATCCACCAGCTCGAGGATCTCGACCTTCTGGTGTACGTCCAGCCGCTTACGAGCTTCGTTCTTACTCCCCCCTTGTGCCTTCGGGCGTTTAGATGGCCCCTTCCCAGCACCCTCTGCTGCTGCTCTCGCTTTGCGCTTGCCAGTGTTGGCTACGCACGTACTGCAGNACGTAACCCGGTGGGGCACGCCGCCCGCGGCCCGCGTTTTTATCGTCGCTACCCCCCGCCGCTTCGTCGTCCTCTTCGTCGTTCTCCACCTTCTCCCGCTCGGCCTTCACTTTGCGGATCAACCGTTCCGAGCGCCCGAAGCGGTCTGCTATCTCTCCTTGAGAGAGCTTCGCATCCACCAGCTNCTTCTGGTGTACGTCCAGCCGCTTGCGAGCTTCGTTCTTACTCCCCTCTTGTGCTTTCGGGCGTTTAGATTGCCCCTTCCCAGCACCCTCTGCTGCTCTCGCTTTGCGCTTGCCAGTGTTGGCTACGCACGTACTGCAGATGCGGTTCAGCTCGCTGTCGTCAAACATGCTTCCACATTCGCCATGTAGCCGCCCGCCGCATCGTCCCCGGCAGATGTGGCCATTAGGGGCTTGAAGCGTCCTGTTCGGTATGCGGCACAGGTCACCTTCCGCACATGGCATGGTGCGCCTCTGCGTAGAGCTGTTCGGGTCTGCAGCGGCACATGTACTCTCTCCTCTGTGTCTGTCTTTATTGTTGTGTGTATCTCGTGTGTGTGTTTTTATTATTTGCATCGACCGCGCTAACCGGCTGACCAATTAAAAGACGTCAGTGCCAGCGGGTAAAAATCAAGGTCCTTGGAAGGGGGCCAAAATTCGAAAAATGCGCAAAACGCTTGATGCGAATGCCAATACAACTCTCTCCACGTGTTCTTTCACGTAGACACACATTTCAGCTACACAAATGCATTCGCTCGAATCTAAGAAGCCACTGATGCAAAGAGCGGAGGACAGCAAAAGGGTTATTTCAAGCCCAGCCGAAGCCAGGATATCGTGGTATGCTGCATCTCCCAATTTGATAATCGTACACTCCCAAGATCCAACAGTCATCGTGTCAGCAGCTAGATTACTCAAACAAAATAGCAACACATACACGGCCATAGCTCCACACATGCCCTCGTCCGAACCTAGGAAGCCACTGATGCAAAGAGCGGAGGACAGCAAAAGGGTTATTTCAAGCCCAGCCGAAGCCAGGATAGCGTGGTATGCTGCATCTCTCAATTTGATGATCGTACACTCCTAAGATCCAACAGTCATCGTGTCAGCAGCTAGAT